ATTTTACACGTGCGCCGCAGCATCTTGACACGCCCATCGCAGTACATGGCACAGAAAGCTACACTAAAATTTAAACTCCCTTCCATGCCATGGCTTGTTCAAAAATTAACCTAGCCCCTTTCTAAGGCTGTCTAAGGATCTAAAAACTATATTAGTTTCTCATAAACCTCATTAATCAATAATTTATTTAAATTGACTAAATTACCTTAGAAACACTGATAATTTCCAAATTAAGAAACTTAGGATGTTACATGTACAAATAAGAAGTATTGAGTTTTTCATGATAACCACAGAGTAGATTCAAATAAATGGTGACCCTTATGCTTAGATTACATGCATTCTTGGAAGATAATTGCATATGCAAGTAGCTGTTTATTGTATCAGAGGGACATATGTTGCATATGCATGGTTAGGCACACATTTATTGAAGATGATTGCATTCTCTTGAAGATATTTGCAAGTACATGAAAACCAGTTGCATAAGATTGACAATGTTTACGTTTGTGATAAAATTGACCCCGAGGAAGATGTTTTGCATCTATAGACTGAATGTTCGTATATAAAGAAGATTTTTACATATGAGGCCCCCTCTACATTAAAGGGTAGACCTCCTGCATATGCATGGTTTAGTTATTCCCTTATGGAAGATGTTTGCATTTCCTTGAAGATGCCTCCATATAAATGAAGACCAGCTGCATATGCTTAATGGTGTTTGCACTTGTTCATCCCACATATGACATTTATTTTTAAAATATCATGATTAGATATTCGAATAAAGGGAGGAGCTTGAGTTTTCACATTTAGCTATCAAAATATTCATTTGCATTTTCATAATATCCACAGGTTTTTTTATAAAAAAAATGAGTAAATCTTTAAAATAACCATTTGCAATTTTAGAATATCGATAGGTATTTCATAAAAAATGAGTAAATTTTTAAAATATTCATTGTAATTTTAGAATATCCATAAGTGTTAACTCATTTTTTATGATATCCCTTTTGATTTTCATGAAAAAAAACTTCAAGTCCTTCTTTTATTTGAATATGTAGTCATGATATTCTAAAAAATAATGTAACATTCGAGATGCAATGTTTCTTACAGGTGCAATTGACATCAATGATATGCAACTAGTCTTTCCTATATCCAACCATCTTCAATGAAATACAATCATCTTTCGACAAACAAGAATGCTTCCACGCATATGCAAAAGTCTTCCATATATGCAATAAGCTCCCTTTATGTGCATAAGTCTACCATATATGCAAGTAATCAGTCTTCATATACAAGAACTTCTTTGAATGTTCATTTTATTATGAGTGCAATTGACATCAAGGATATGCAACTAGTCTTGTTTAATATGCATATATCTTCAATGAAATACAATCATCTTCTGACAAATAAGAATGCTTTCATGCATATGAAAAAGTCTTCCATATATGCAGTAGGCTCTCCTCATGTGCATAAGCCTTTCATATATGCAAGTAATTAGTCTTCATGTGCAATGATCTTCCTTGAATGTCCTTTTTGTTACAAGTGCAATTGATGTTAAGGATATGCAATTACTCTTCCCTAATATGCAGCCATCTTCAATAAAATGCAATCATCTTCCAATAAAGGAGAATGCTTCCATGCATATGCAAAACATCTTCCATATATGCTCCTGATGTGTAAAAGTCTTCCATGTATGCAAGTAATGATTCATCATATACAACTATCTTCCTTAAATGTCTATTTTGTTATGGGTGGAAATGATATTAAGGATATGCAGTTGGTCTTCCCTTATACACAATCATCTTTAATGGAATGCATTTATCTTTAGAAAAATGGTTATTTTGAAAATTTACTCATTTTTCATGAAAACACCTATGAATATTCTAAAAACACAAGTGGTTATTATGAAAATTTATTCATTTTTCATGAAAATACTTATAGATATTCTAAAAACATATATAGGTTAAGAATGTTTTAGGGCCTTGATGTCATTAATTTTTCATGATAATCAACATGTATATTCGAATAACTTAAGCATAGAGAGCCCAAGGACACCCATTTGTTATAATTTATTCTATTGTTATCATGAAAAACTTAACACTCTTTATCTGCATATGTGAAAACTGGTTGCATATGGCTGAAAACTTATTGTATCTAACAGCAAATACCTTGTAAATGGGTTAAGAATGCTTTAAAGCCTTTGTTTCATTAATTTTTCATGATAACCCACCTGTATATTCAAATAAATGTTCAAACTCTAGAATGCTAAATATCCTTACATTAGTTTTTTATGATAACTATTTAGGATATTTGGATATATATGGGTGTCGACTAATGCACCTTAGACCTAAAGCTATAGAAACTCCAACATTGCCATCGGTGTCATTTGGGTATCATTGTTGCCCTGATCACTCCACAAGTCACTGAGAAGTTAATAAGCCACCGTGCTGCCAATTCTTCATCTTCATTGTTTATTTGTTCCATCACCAATGAAATTCCTCTGGTTGAACTTTCTTTTTTATTTTCAAATTTGATTTTCCAAGGACATTTTTGTCCTTTAACTTCACTACAATATTGCCACATAAGGACTTCATTTTCCAAAACTCTCAAACTCCTTTTTAGCAATTAATTTGCCCGTGAAGTCTTTTTGGGTGATTTTTCCTAAAAATAATTATTTTTTTAAATAACCATTTTTACAAATCATTAACAATATCTTTTGGCACCGGATGTTCAAGTAACCAATTCCAATAGCCCTTTATACTCCCAAAAGCTTGGCGCACTACTTCATTTTTTTCATTTGGATCTCTCAAATATATCAATGTCAAAAGCTTGTCTTCTATCAAACTCTCAGATCCAAGTTCTAGTTCACCCTTCATCTTTGTGTTCAAGTTCTATTGCTAGTGTATGAAATCGCGATTAGGGACTTTTCCAAGTACGTATATGTTATCTTTCCTCCAACTCTCATGTTGTGAAATCCGTAATAGTTGGGGGCTTGCTGTTTGTGTATTGTTTTGCTTAAAAAATCTATAATTTGAGAGTTAGTTTGCTGGAAAGAAATCTTTGTTCGTAGGTTCGCCTTGTTTTGGAGAAAGATACATGGATTCGGAAGCTTGATCTATCATTGTGCATTATGTATAGTTCCCGTCAATTGTTTGTTAAATTGCTTATAAAAAAAAAAAAAAAACAGTTGGGTTTGAACCCAGAGTTACCTTCAGTACATATCTTAACTGATATAGTTTATTACAACTACAAGCCTTCTTCTTGGATTTTGCTCTTCGACTATTGTTTACCTACTTTGTTTCGTTGCTTCATGTTCTAACAATATATATATAAATATAGATATAGATATAGATATAGATATAGATATATAGATATTCATAACTCGATCAAAATCTTGCATTTATTTACTTTAACAGAACAATATATATATATATATATATATTTCACCATTACCTTGCCATAACTTAAGGAAAAACATGCTTAGAAGCATATAATACTTATCTCCAGTCTTGGTGTTCACACCTGGTTTCTCCTATGGTGCAAGAAATTTAAAATGGTGCTCACTTATTCCTTTATCTTTAATAAGTGACATTACTATGTTCTCAAATTCTGTTTTTTGTTCTTTCTGACGTTATTGTCCAGAACAAGAGAAGAGAGGAAGATAATGGCTTCTTTATAGGGTTAAATAAGCAAATGGAAAGAGCGGACTGGTTGATTAGGCACCAATTGCAAACCGGTGCTATAAAAGTGATTTTTATAGTAGTGATCATCTCTCAATTCAATTTTAAAAATCCTTTGTTCATAAATAGAATTGAGAAAATGAGTAGCAAATCAAGAGAGATAAAGTTGCAAATCCAAGAAATTCAAATGGAGATTTCTAAAACTGAACAAATACTTTATCATAGATTCAATGTTGAAATTTTGTGTTCCTAAATAAAATTAGGAAAGTAAGTTACAAACCAAGAAAGATGGAGTTGCAAGTGTAAAAAAAAAAAAAAGTAGGTTGCAAATCGTTGAACTATTGAGAGAAAAGTCAATATTAAGATTCTGTGTTCTGGGACATGAAGCTGCAAATCTTTTTTTAAAAAATATTTTTCTGACTCTGTTAATAGGACAACGGGAGAAATTAATTGACCAAATTTTTTTTTATCTTATCTATAAAGAACTTTAATATTTTTTATATTTTTAAAATGTTTGAAAAATTATTAAAAATAATTTAAAATAATTTTTTATTTTTATTAAGAAATAGATGTGGAAACTTATTACATTATTAAATGAGGATTAATATTTTTAATTTTAATAAAATATGTTAAAAGTAATTTATAAATAAAAATAGGAAAGGTAAATTGCAAATACCAATAGTTGAATAAATAATATCAAAAAATTTAATGTTGAAATTCTTATGTTTTTAAATAAAATTAAAAAATTAAATAGATCAAAGTTTTCTTAATTCAAACAGTTATAAATAAGAATTTAAATTATAAAATAATTATTATATTTAGAATTTAAATATCATATAATTAAAATTTTTAAATTTATAATGGGGTAGATTGATATTTATTATTGATTCGTTTAAAAAAAATTTTGAGGACCATACTATCATTAATTTCCTCTTTTAAAATTTAATTATCATTCTTTCAATAATCAAAAGATTAATTAAGAATCTAAAAAATTGTAATTACATTTTAGAACTTATGGTGACTTTAGGAGAGATATGATGGTCATAGAACTTACTTCCTTTAATTTTTATTATAAAATATTTTTAATTATTTTATTCATCTTAAAAAGGTGGGATATATTTTTATTTTTATTTTTAACTTTAAATAATAATACAATTATGTTAAATGTTTTAAAATTAATTAAAAAAGATAAAATTAAAAAATAATTTAATTATTAAAAAATATTTTATATTATAAATTAAAATTAAAAATTATTTTTAGAAAGTGTGTGAGGAAGACAACATTAATTGTCATTCTGACTTTTTCCACCAACCTTTGGTTCATCCTCATGCTCATTTCCGCAGCGTGACCTTCACCTTAGTACGGTATTTTCATTTGAAAGCTCTCATCTGTCTCACTGATTGAATGACCGAACTAGAGAAATAGGGGGAAGAAATTTCACGGTTCTCTCCTTTCCAAGATCTTGGACTAGAAGAAATTCTCACAGACTGTAAGATTTTCTTTTGCGTTTGCACTTTGTTTGATTCGCGTCTTTCTTGCTGGTGAGAGCGTCATTTTGAGCCTAATTAGTATCCTTTCTGTACATAATTTTCTAAGGGTTCTCAATATATCTGATTGTGAAAATTTTTTGATGATAGCTATCAGTTTAGGGGGAGGGGAGTTCGTGAAAGAGATGGCTCGGGAGGTGGAGGACGCCATGGAAGTCCGGTAACGGTAACGTGCGTCGGAAAAGGTAGTTGCTTGAAATGGTTTTCTTTATCTCCCACTCTATTGCTGCTTCAAATCTGCGACTAGCATTTGCCTTTTGAATATTTCTTAGGTTTTGGTAATCGTTGTGATGAGACACAAATAATTTGTAAACTGAGTGAATATACTGCATTTCCTGGGTGTTTGGTAGGCATTTTGAACATATTTAAAATCCTGTTTTACATTTGATAGTTCAGTTCTTGAAATCTGGATTATCAATGGGGAAACATCTATGCATTTCGCTCAAAGATCTTAAAGATGCAACAAACAGTTACTATCGCGATGATATTGTGAATATTGAATGCCAGATCACTTTTTTAAGTCAAGTTGAACATTTCGTTTCAACATTCTCTAAATCTGTGTAATACATGCATATCTTTAATTTGTTTCCGCGGGTAGTATTGAGATGTTTTGTATGAAAATTTCGTAGGCGCATTAATGCACACATTAAGGAATGCGCATTCGCAAGTGCCTAGCCGACTCTGAAATGAGGCAGAACAAGGGATCAGCAAAGAAACGGAAAGAGATGAGTGGTGAAGACATCAACATAGAAGATCCGTATCTCACATCTGAGATAACAATTTGCAACAGTAAGTGTGCAATTTGATGCTGGCAATTAAAGTTTGTGTTTCAAGTATTATATGAGGGAAATGTAAAACGTTTTCTCTTTTATGCAGGAATGATGCTATATCACCGAGAACAACGACCAACTCACTACACGCTTCAAATAAAGTCATACTCAGCACTAGCTTCTAGTAAGATAGAACGCTATGAGTCTTCTGTATTTGAAGCTGGTGATTACAAGTGGTAAATAATGTCACTGACTCTAAACTTTAATCTCTGCAGTAATTAATATATTCATTGTTTACCTAATTTATCACAAATCTTCATGTGTATTTATCAGGAGGTTGATTTTGTATCTTCATGGAAATAGTGAAGTCAACAAGGATGGTCATATCTCTCTGTACTTAGGGATTCCAGAAGCACAAATTGCTGAACTCCCATTTGGTTGGGAAGTTTGGGCTCATTTTAAATTTTTGGTTCTTGATCAGATAAATGACAAGTATCTGGTCATTCAAGGTATTGCATTTTTGTTGTCGTAGGTTCAAAGTGGTTCATGGAGTACGATTACTGGGGATTAAGTCACTTCATGTCGTTAGAGGATCTTAAAGATCCAACAAAGGGCTACTATGTGAATGATACTGTCATTGTTGAGTGCCAGATTTCATTCATTAGTGTATCCGAAGTTCTTGATGAATGAGAAATGATAAGTCTGATTGCTGATTAGCTCGTATTTCTGTGTTTGTGTTTGGACCTGGGAGCTACTTGGAACTCAAATTTTTTTGTTGTACAGGATGTTTAAAAGCTCCATTATGTCTGTTATAGAAGTCTTCACCATTTAAGTGACATTTTGTTGCCGAAGAGGTTGAGTGGATGAAGCTGGTGTATGCCGTAGATCTCTCATTGATAAGATAGCTGAAGACTTGTAATTATGTTTTGTGTATTTTGTGTGTACATTTAAGCACTTGGATGGGTAATATATTTGGTAAAAACTGCTTGGAGCTGATAGTCAAGGACTAACTATTTGCTAGATTAGCTCATGTTAATGTCTATGATTACTTTTGTGCCTATAATCATCCACCCTTGTTACGAGCCATTGGACTAGACATTCATTATCGTGGTAGAGAATAATGATATCATGCAATTGATGTAAATGACTCGACTTGGATGATTAAGGCTTGTTATTGTTGTTGAGATTATGAAAGAACGAGAGGCTTTCTGGGTTGTAAAATTGGAAGCTGGGATGGTTGCAGTTGGAAGCTTATTGGGAAATTACTTGAACCTAGAAAAGGGAAGAGCATAACACCAAGTATTTTTGCCTATTTAAGTTACTATAATATAACTTGGCGGAGTATCAAAAATCATAAATTTGTACTAATGAAATGAGTCCAATAAACCATAAACTAATCAGTGTATCTGTTAACATTGCTGGACTTGTGGTTAACGTTGATAAATCAATCACCCATGTTGAATATTGTGATAATTGATACTATGAATGCATGGTTGTGTAATATCTATTGCCTGCCCCTAATCCTATTTTCCTTTTTTTTTTTTAGAAAAAAAAAACACTTATCTTTTACCTTCTGTCGTTGAAGAGGAGTGAGGGGGAGGGAAGGAGAGAAAAAAAATCAAATGAGTTCAATTTGGAAAAAAATGGACAAGTGGTACAATAAAATTTTTAATGAAAAGGTGTTTGAGAAAATATTAAAAAACCAATTAAAAAATTTCAATCCCAGTTTTTAAATTTTTCGTTTAATTCAAATTTATTAAAATCTCCCCTCTTCCTTCATCCTTTCCATTCCCCTCAAACCAAATAGGCCATTAAGTCTTTTTAACCCATGCTATTTTGATAGTTTGGTATTAAAAACAGTGTTTATCTTGTCTTTTAATTAAGACTATTTAAACGATATTGCAATAGCCAATATATGAACTATTCAGTAGGGATTAATCCTCGGTTTGGATGGGAAGAAAAGTTAAAAGGAAAGAAAATGAGAGGAAAGAAAATGGAGATAAGAGAAAACTAGAAAGAAAATATTATCACTCTTTCTATTTGGATGGACAAAAGAAAATAAGGAGAAAAGAAAATGAACAGATATCATAATAACTATAATGCCTTTATATCAAAATATATTATGTTTCATGTAATTATGTTTGTGAAAATAAATTGAAAGAAAAAATTATATTAAAATTAACATAATCAAATTAATTTAAAATCAAATTATTTGTTAAAAATATATTTTTATATTATATTTTAAAATCAAATAATTAACATTAAATTAATGTAATTCTAGACACTTGATCTAGCCAATGGCTAAATTATTTAATTAAATAGTTAAATTAATGTAATTCATAACTATAAAAGTTAAAAATTATAAATTAAACTGTTTAATTAATGTAATTAAGTAGTCTCCTGAAAATTAGAGTGTGAAATAAATAAGAGAGAGAGAGAGGATAAACGGTGGAAAAAAGTTTTACTTTCAAAATCTCTCCACTTTTGAAGAGAAAAGTTGGAAGGAAAAAATAATAGATCCCATATCCTATTTTCCTTTCACTTTTTTTTTTCCCTCTCATTTTTTCTTTCCTATCAAAACAAGGAAAAATCTGTTTTCTCTTCTTATTTTCTTCCCAACCAAACAAAGCATAAACAATTGGCCTCCGAACTGGTTACATCTCCTGTAACGATCACTTGACTTTACAATTTCTTTTATTAAATTAAACACAAATTTGGAATCAATCTCAATACAATTTGATGTTTGGACACGCCAGCACTGTGTTTCGTACTTATCATCTAGACAATACACTTAAAACACATGATATAATGTACTCCCCCTATCAGTTTATCCTAATTCACAAGACATTTTTGGAATTGAACGGATGTCTTAAAATATAAGACATCTTAATCAATTTTTTTTTTGGTAATTATGCTTCTTTTAATATTGCCTTTCCTTCCTTATTATATTTTTTTTTCTCTACATTTAATGTTTCATAAATAGAGTTAAATAAATGAAGGATGTTTTTAGAAATTTATATTTGTGTTTTACTAAAATAAGATTATAAAATATATTTAATAAGCTCTATTCATATACATAATTTTGTCAACAAGGAAAAAAAAAACCTGTGGAAGGGAGGGAGTAGACTATTATCTCTAGAAATAATCTCCCCCTCCCCCTCCCCCTCCCCCTCCCGATGCATCGTAAGGAACTGAGATCAACTGACTTCAGGGTAATAAACTCACGTTTGCACGAGAGATATGCATTCTAAACGTACTAATGACTTATCGTTTTAAAGATTTACACAATATTTTTAATTTTTAATTTAATTTAATCAGAAATATAAAAATAAATTGCTTATTCCTATTCCTAATTCCTAAAATACCCTTAAATATAGCACATGGAATCTGCACTCCTTTGAAATGCCAACTTTCATGCTGACTTGCCATTATTTGAAACTTTGAATAGTAATCGGAGTGCAGAAACGTCTATCTACTGTATCATTAATCTTACTCGAAAATCTCTAAGTAGCGTAATACTAAAACGTGCACATCTTTGATTGGTTTCTACAAGAAACCAAGAGATTTTGTTGTGCCTCTTAGTGGCTATCGTTACTTCTCACTATAACTATAATTTATCTGATGAATATCCCAAGTCACCGAAAAGACGTCTACTGGGTAATCTCTCTCTCTCTCTCTCTCTCTCTCTCTCTCTCTCGCGACCCCCCATATATATATATATATATATATATTTGTGTGCATCAAGTAGCATATACGTAAGTGTGTCTTAATTGCCATCTTTGAAATGAGGCAGTGCAAGGTAACAGCGTGGAAAAGGACGAAGGAGATGAGCGATGACACGTTGAAAATGGAAGAAAATCAATATATTATGCCTGAGATTTGCAACGGGAAGTGTGTGCACTTTGACGCTGACAAAGTTTGTGTTTCGAACATTATGGGAAGGGAACCAAATACATATGATTTTGTTGTGCAAGAATCATGAGATATCACAGAGAACTTCGACCATCTCACCAGTTGCTTCAAATAAAGTCATATTCAGCACTAGCAGCCAGTAAGCTTGAACGACTTGAATCTGATGTATTTCAAGCTGGCGATTATAAGTGGTAAGTAATGTCAAAGAATTTGCACTTTTAATTTTTGCAGTGATATATTTATTGCTGACCTAATTAATCCGGGAATATTTATCAGGAAGATGATTGTGTATCTTGGCGGAAATAGTGAAGTCAACAAGGATAGGCATATCTCACTGCACTTAGCAGTAGCAGAAACACAAGATGAGGAACTTCCTGTTGCCTGGGAAGTCTGGGCTCATTTTAAATTTTTTGTTCATGATCAGAAAAATGATAAGTACTTGGTTATTCAAGGTATAGCAATTTTTTTTTCAATTCAATTAAATGTCAGTATATTGCATAGACACAAACGCGCGCACACGCGCGCGCACACACATTTAGACGAAATGTTTTAAAAATAACAGATTATTTAGGGTGTCATCACCTGCCCTCTCTGCCCTAGCTATTTGTTACCCTCAAATCTAAAATATCAACCCTTTATTTGGGAGAATTCAATAAAATGTGTCTTATCATTATTAATTAGTAAGGGCAGTTGAGAGGGCTAGAGACACCTAAACTAACTTAATTTAGGTTTGAAACAAATTATGATTTGATTTTTGAATATATAATAACATATTATATATATATTGCTGTCATTACTACTGGGGTTCAATGATTGGTTGACACAGATGCTCAGAATCGGTTGAAACGTTTTTATTCAGCGAGGACTGAATGGGGTTTTAGTGAATTGCTTTCGATGGATGCATTTAAAGATTCTAGTAATGGGTATCTTGTTAATGATTGTTGTACATTTAGAGCCGAGGTCTTCGTAGCTCAATGTTCTGAGAAAAGGGAATGTGTTTCCACTGTTCTAAAGCCTCCAGCATTTGGCACATTCACATGGAAGTTAGACAATTTTTCACAAATCAAGACTGATTTTTGTTATTCTGAATCTTTTACTTCTGGAGGAACAAGATGGTAATTAACCAATGACTTCACTTACTATATATCTTTTTGTTTTAACTACATTATAGGCGTTTCAGTTGTGAACTTGCATTGTGATTAATTCCATAAATGTTTTGTCTGTGCTTTAATCTCAAGGCAATTGAAAGTTTATCCAAGAGGTGATAAGAGTGGCAGACATGGTTTTCTATCCATTTTTCTGGTTCTTGATGAAAGTCAATTATCGAGGAAGTGGTATGCTGAGTCCACATTACGCGTTAAGAATCAACTGTCTACATTAAGAAATAGGGTAGTGAATGGTAGGTGTCAATTTTTTTATGTAATACGATGTATGTGTAAATAAATTGGTCTCAGTCAATATTTTTATGAGCAAAGTTTTGTTCTGAGACTTTCGCTGTTGCAGGTGCCAAGTGGTTCAGTGACTGGTACACTTACTGGGGATCAATTGAATTCATGCCGTTGCAGGAACTTAAAGATGCAACAAAGGGTTACTGTGTGAATGATACTGTCATTATCGAATGCCAGATTTCTTACGTGATCGAAGCTTAACTTTTCCAAGATTGAGATGTGATTTGTGTGATGGCAGATTGACTCCAACTTTTGTGTTCGTCAATGATTTGCCGAATGTATATGGCCTTTGAAACGGATAGGATAGGATATTATAAGCTCCATTTTGTGTATGGCTGGTTAATTTAGTCAATAAAATGTTATACTGTTGGCAAAATGACAGCGAACTAATGAAGCCTTAGTTGCTGCACTCAGAAGTATCGATCATACAGAAACTGAAGAGATATCATACAGACAAAAGCAGACACTTTCAAATGTGTCTCTAATTATTAATAGTTCTCATGATCATCTATATTTTATTCGAATAAAATCATGAATCTTTCGCATTCCCTTTTATTCTTTTTCGCCCACTGATCAGATGTATGATCTGTAAGAGTAAGAGGACAGGAGAAAAGTTTTGACGAAACAAATGTTAACAATTATAAACGCAATTGAATTTTAGATATTGGAACACTGCAGTTGTAAGAACAGACAAAGATTTCAATGACCTTGGTAACTCACGTGGCC